GATGGCATCAGCACATCCAGGAAAAGAATATATAGGAGCAACTGAGGAGCTAGACTAGAAATTATATCTATTCTGAAGTACCCCCCAGGCCAAACCCTTTCTGGACATATATACTGAAATAAGAGTGGCTCGGGCTGTGTTTTTACTTTATACATCTCCTATACATCTTACCCCGCTTGAGAGTGAAATCCTTGAGGTAGGTCTTGTATTTCCTTGTATTCAAAAAAAGAATGTTTCAGTGAGTATTTGTTCAGAGTGCCTTTGCTCATTAATTCACTACATTCTCACAATAACCACGTGGAGATTTATTGCGAATCCTACTCGACATGGAGGAAACTGAGACTCAAAGGTGAGGGTCAGAGGCGACTCGGCCTACCCTCAGGGGGAGACCCACTGAGGTCAAGGGTGTTATTCCTACTGCTGCTGGTGACGAGGAGCACAGAGGGGTGGGACTTGCTCAAGATCTCGCCCCTGGGTGGAGGCAGAGATGGGCTGACGCTCAGCTAGCCCCGTGCCCTTTCTCCACTACATCCTGCTTTGCAGACGGATGTGCTGCAGTGTATTCCTTAAGGGACAGAATTCTGGCAGGGTCTTCTAACCAGAAGAGCAGAGGGAGCCTGAATTTTCCAGATGGCTATGTGGGTCATGCTTCTGCATGGCTGGCATGCTCAGCTCTCACCATTGCTCACACACAACAACAGGGCATGGGTTTCCCATATGAGTGACACAGGGAACCTCAGGTTCTCCAGCCCTGCTCACATCAGAGGGCTCCATCACTGGACGTGCCAAGGCCATTTTGCCTTTATTCCCCAGGGGCTCCACCTGTGTCCTAGCTCCTGGTCTAATTTGGTATTACCGGCAAACCCTCAAATCCATCATCTTAAGCCACGTGGCACACATGACAGCCTGCATAAGAGCTGCTGATTGTGTTCAATTAGAGACTTTAAAAAAAAAAGACATTTTTTCTTCCATTTTTTCTCTTGAGGTTTATCAGGAAAGAAAGAGTAGAGATCAGAAAGAGAAAAGAACATATTGTGTGGGAGGTGAAATGCCGTGGTCATTTTAGAGACCTGTTTGGAGTTGCTGGTTGTGATTTACGGAAAAGAAAATGAAATTCATGCCCACCATCCATCTTGCTGAAATGTCACACCAAGTGCAGCTGTCGTAGCAGGGAGGTCCAGTGGAGATGCCTACAAATCACCTGCTGGCCCTCGCTCGCCCTCGCTGGTCCCTGATTAAGAGCCATGCGCACACTGCAGAGAAATAAAACTCATGGTCCATGGACCAACGAGGCATTTTTTTGGGCCACGGAAATGCATAACTATGGGAACTGACCCTTAACTTTGGCACAGTAACTCTCTCCCCTGCCAGGGTGCCCTAAGTGCAGTCCAAAAGCTCCAATTTGTGAAACACAACACGTATTATTAATATGATATATCAATGTCTATTGCTGCGTCCATGCACATGAAACCTTTATCCGGGCTTTGTTATGACTCCGTGAATGGTGCCTGGAAGGAGGAATCCTAGCGTGGGCAGGGTAACTATCTCAATGTGATCACTGACGTTCTGTGAATCAGCCCGTTTTCCTCTCTTTATAAAAGACCTGCCAGTCAGTGGGAAACATGCACCCAGCCGACAGACAAAACACATGCCCCTCCTCCTCTAATAACAGACATGCTCCATGTTTACCATGGCCAGTCAGGCCTCTTTGGCACCTTAAAGGTGTGTCTGTCACTTTCATTCTTACAGGGGTAGGTGTACAGCCGCTTTGGTTGCTCAGAGTTGATGCCAACACTACCAGACCAGAAAGGAGGGTATGACATTCACATTGGCCATTTTCTGCTGGTGTTAAAATTTTGGCTGGGGATGAGGCTGAAACCATTGGTAAGACTGAAATTTCAGAGCTATCTATTCATCCTGTCATTTATTGTAACAACAAATTGATAAACGGCTCCTTTTGCTGAAAGCTTTGAGCAAAAAAGATAAGAACAAGAATGAGCAGCTCAGGCGTCTATGCTGGAGGGAGGGGAGGTGGAGGGCTTCGTAAAGGCCAAGGAGTCCTCCACACTCGAAGGTTCGGATGATAAATAAAGGAAGAAGCCAGTAGATATGGGGCCACATACTTTCTTTTGTTTTCCTTTTTTAAATGAGCCAGACATTTAGTTAGTCCACTTTCTTGTTTGGGGAGCATCTAGACAGCATTTTTACTTACTCCCATTCATAGATAGCAGAAGGTCCGTATATGAAACCCCCAATGTGCTTCCATATGTTGAAATCTCCAAAGTAAATGCTCATTTTCTCCCTCAAGATGCCTTGGCTTCTTCAAGGTTAAGTGCAAATGCCCTCGGACCCCAGGTTTCCACCAGTCTCTGTGCCCCTGGGAGGGGTGGGGAGCCTCAGTGCTCGGATGGCCCCAGGAGCCCCAGACATTTGCCGAGCAGAAACCAACCCCTTGCATTTTCAGAAAAACCAAGGGTGCAGGGAGCATCCCCGCGCTACTCCATGCTGCCTGCTCTGGGCGTGGTGAGCAGGGCCCTGAGGAGTCCCAGGCCTGCCACGTTCCATTTCCCACCAACAGCCGCTGGGAACTGTACCATGGCCCTGTCTCCCTTCCATCCGAAATGAGCAGAAATGTCAGAATCTGGGCATCTCACCTGGAAATCACGCCCCACTTTCTTTAAAAATGTTCATATGTATTTTTTTCTTTTTCAGATAATTCTCTCTTTTGGTATGGAGGTTATGAATCATTCTTCCCAGACTAATGTTTTCCACGTGTAAGGCTAAATGTGGCTCCCAAAACAAGACAGGACGCTGCAGGTTTTCTCGGACCTTCTGAAAATCTCAACTCAACTCTGCTCAAGACTCAAGACCCAAACGGAAACACACACACGCGCACACACAGAACCATCACCAGCCTCTCCCCGCAACCCCGAAGCCCGGGGACAGTCCCCAAACGCGGCCTCACCTTTCCAAAGAAATGCTGCGCGGCCACGGCGAGGGCGTCGAAGCCGCGCGCGGCCCTGCCCAGCTCGGCGCGCGCCTGGCCCAGCTGCCGCGCCTGCCGCTCGCAGCGCTCCCTCAGCCGCTGCGCCAGCTGCCGCTCCGCCTCGCGGGCCTGCGCGTCGGGCTTGGGCGCCAGGCCGTTCCGGGCCGCCGCGCTCCTCTGCTTCGGGTAGCCTGCAAGAAACACAGTCCGGTTAGCGGTGAAAAACACCCAGCACAAAGCGACAACGGCCCCTGATCGCAGAGGGAGCTCACCAGGAGCAAGTGGCGGAGGAGGAATCGCCTGTGATTTGTCATTTTTTAAGAATTAAAAAGGAAAAACAGGGACTAAAAGTATTGGCCCCAGTTATGGGGTTCTAGGAGCAAGGTTTCGTGCTTGGAAAAAGAATAACAGACAAAATTGCCAAGTTCCTTCCAGCTTCTGACGTTTCTTCTGGGCCTGCTTGGAGAGACTGAAATGGTTCTCTTGCTTTCTTTCTTTTTGCTTTTCCTTAGAGGGGATTACGCTTTGAAAGTGTCTAATGGAAATAAATGAATAATCGAGAGAGAAGTCAGACTTATAATAACCCGGCGACCCTGTGCTTGGGCACCAGAGAGCAACGCCTGGGGCCCCTCTCCCCCTTTAGACCCTGCCCAGTGTCGGGTCCAGGTGACAGCCGAAATCTCCTCTGCCGCAGCGATTCCCGACTTTAAATTCCTGCAGCACCAATGTCCTGCCAGGGTCCCTCCAACGTATTCCCCCGATGTGACTTCGTGCCACCTCCACGGCCAGAGGTCCAGTCCAAGCCACCCCCACTGCTTGTCCTCCGAGGGGACGCGCTGCTCCGGCTCTCGGTCCGCTACGCCGCAGCCAGAACGGCAGGTGCACGCACGGGACACTTGGCGACCCGCGTGGACCCTCCAGTTGCTTTCCACTGCCCTGAGAAGCAAGCCCACACTCCTGACCATGGCCCACAAAGCCCTGGCCATCTGGGTCCTGGCAGGCAAACATGAGGCGCTGTGGGTCCACAGAAGAAGGGACGGGCAGCTCCGCCGGGGGCTGACGGGGGCGGGTTAAGGAGAGGTGACTTTTAGGGTGAAGCCTAAGGAGGAAAAGCAAGACGGCGGAGAACAGCACGGAGGAAAGCACTCGATCGTGGGCAAAGACCCGGGGCGAGCAAGCGTCGTCCTCAGGACCACGCCACTCCACGGGAGGTGCAGGCAGACCCCACACCCACAGGCCGCTGCAGAACCCCTGAGGTTGACACTGGATTTACTCCAAAAGGCAAGTTCTTTCCTTCGCTCAGGAAGGTCACCCTCCTAGAGGATGTGACCTGGACACCGACCAGCACGCTCACAAATCAACTTTAATATTTCAAATGTTCTTTCCTCCCCTCGTTTTTTCCCCCCTCTCCAAAATATCAGGGGCAACATATAAAACAAACCGGAAAACGGTAGCCTCTTCAGCACCTGCTATGCAGAGACACAGCAGAGTAAGGGGCTTGTGGATACACAAGCAGCCTCATCTTTTAAAGGGAAAACTGGTTAATTGTTCTAAATGCTCCTGATGGTTAATTTAATGGTAACCATGCCAATTTTAATTAAGCCCTCCTCCTCTTAAAAAGTCATCAGAGATTGTGATGTGACCTCACATATGGCATATCTTAAATTATCATGACTTAATGGAATAGCAGAATGTGAAATTATTGCTTGTTAGAAACTGTCTTTATGATAGCAGAGTACATAGTAATCCAGAAAATTCACTTGCGTGTTGTAGGCAAATCAATGTTAATATGTATTTCATCTCAACATTCTCAGTACTGAAAACAGCAAAACAGATGTGACTACCAAGAAAACCCCACCAACAAAAGATGAGAGATTTTACTGCCTGCATTAAACTCTAAGACACAGAGTACGACCTAAGGCAGATGTTTGTTCACAATTTCTGTTTGCCATTTTATTGTTGTGCTTAGTGATTTTATAAAACACTCCAGTGCTTTAATTGATGTGTTGGGGTACCAGGTGCCTGACACCGTTACAACACAGGCACTTCTTTTAGAAATCCAAAGGAGAGAATTGAACCCACTTCCGGCTCACTGAATTAAAGCTGATTGTAATCCATGGTAAATAAGGTCACCTCTGAGCTTGTGGACATTAGTAAGCATTTCCATTGTCGTGTATTTCTAGCTATCAGATTTATTTCTGGGTGGGATGGCTCCTAGGACCTACCACCTTTAATATCATCATCGGGTTAGAAATTATACTCAATAGAAAATGGACACTATAAAAGGATTCAGTGAAATCTGATTCTTGCACTTACTCTGATGTTGGTGTCATTATTATATTGCTTTTACTCACACTCTCGAAACTCCAGTGTTCTACTGAACAAGAGTTCGCTCACATCTCTACTCCTAGGGCCTCCAAACAACTAACGCTCTGAGCTAAGACAGAGGCTCCCCTTCGAATATTAACTTTTGGGATCAATACACCAAGCGAAAATTTAGCTGCTTTGTGACTCCAAACTACCTTATGAGACCAACCCTGGTTTGAGACTCGTCATACTCAGTCACTGCAGCAGCATGACCAAGGCTCAGGCCCCAGTGCTGAGACCTTAGGGAGAAAAGGCTGAGAAACAAGGGTGGTTGTGAGCTCCCTATTGCTTTTACTTGAAAAGGGTCCTGCCATTTTCTAAATACCTCAAATTTAACTTCGCCCAGGACTAATAATCATTTTACTGTCGGGGGCAGTCTTTGATCTATACTAAAGATAGTATTGTTTCTTGTGCTGCCAATCTTTGTTACTACTCCCACGGTTGACTCCCTGAAGTATTGTCTGTCACCTCCTTTCCTGTCCGCCCACATGTCACACAGTCCCCAGGGTGGTGCACATAGACGGCAGCCCAGGCTCATATGCCACCTCGGAGACAGAGAGCTTATGTTGGACGAAGATCACTGCCACAGCCAGCGTCACCTGTTTCAGAACAGGTGTTTGCTTTCGCTTTCTTCTCTCAAGAGCCGGCGCACAGTGCAGCTAAAATGCTAATACGCTTAGGAAGTGTGGGGTTAATGGGACAATTCGATGGCAAACTTCTGGAGGGCAGTGGTCACATGGAGCTCACGGAGCACACGGTGGGCCCAGGGGGGAGAAATGGTGGTGGCGACCCCCACCCCCACCCTCTTCCACCTGTGTTTCTTGGGAACATCCCTCATGCAGGCTTTAAATGAAGGGCATGCCATGTCCCCTGAAGACACTTCCAGAAGCTGGCATAGTTTGTTATCACTCCTTCCCTGTCCCTTGCAGTATTTCTATTGCTTCTGGGTGCTCTGAGGTTCAAGGCAGCAAAGCAGGCAGGCATGTCCCTGACCCTGCAGTGCAGGCAGCCAGAGCCTACTTCTCTGGGTTTGGTCTCTTCCCAAACAAGCAAAGCTCTGGTCTCCTACAACATCTTTCTGATTTCCACCCAGCTGAACTAGGAAAGTGATGCTGTGAATAGAGAGCTTCAACGCGGGGCTTATCGAAGGTTTCAGAGTCTTTAAATAAAGTGAAATAGAGTAGAATTACTAGTTTTTTTTACTGATTGGCCCCAGTACACTTCCCAGCTATTAATGAGTCTCATCCCCAATGCACCTATTCTGTATGAAATATATGAGCAGAAATACCTAGATCAGTGCTTTGCCATGAACCACAGACAAAGTGATTCCATATGTATGCTTTGAGTTATGTGGTTTGTGGGGACTGAAATATTTGACGAGTTTTATTGAGCACTTACTCTGTGAATGAGACTGTGCAAGGCACCATGGGGTGTGCAAAGGAACAGGCCCCACCCTTGTCCTCAGGCAAGCCACTGTCCAGAAGGGGCCACACTGGGTCCGGACCTTGGTCTTCTGATGCCTCTCCCAGGGCTTTTCACTTAAGCACATCACTGAACCATTCCCCAACATCTCTATCTGATCTCACAGGCTTGGGGCATACTCTAAATCTAGAACACTCTCCTGCTGTCTAAATTTTGCCCCAGTCATATTTCTTTTTAGCCATCCTACTGGCCACATAACTCTGGGGGTTAGGGGCAGATAGAACCCATGCTGATCCCAGTGGCAACTGGCAACTCAGAGGCCTCTAGGATAAAGCCAGTAACCTTACATTATCACAAAGGTGAATGCAAACAGTTTGCGTGCAAAGGCTGAGTGTTGCGTGCAAAGGCTGAGCACTGGAGAGGACACAGCCCTTGGAAATGGAAAGAAAACATTAAAAATTCATCTGTAGCCATCCAGTTACTACCCAGAGGATTGTAATGGATGGAAAAGCTTGGTTTAATTTTAAAGCTGGAAAGCTTAACTGACAGAGTAACAAACAGTGCTGGAACCTGCAGATTTGTAAAATCGGAGATGGCCCATGACCTTCACAGTGTACACAGGCGGGAAATAATGACAGGCCGGGACGGTGGTAGCTTCCCACTTTAAGGAAATGCACTTGATGAGTTCGGTCCACATCCTAACAGACAGCAGTGCACCCCAGGGAGCACTGGGCTGAGTTCTTTGTGGACTTGCACAGGCTTTATTTTTATTAAACCAATCTAAATTTATTTTGAAAATTTTTCCCAGTGGCACACAATTTTCCTGTGTAGCATTGGTAGTTGTTTGCCTGGGTTGCCTAGTGGTGAGGAAAGGCAAAGAGCAGAGGATGTGCGGGTGGCGATTTCCGTCCAGCCAGTCCTAAGGGTGGGAGGGGGAAGGAACTGCAAAATTGGCAACACCCAGCCATATAATAAGTCAGTGAGCAAGTGACCAGTTACACCTTGTAGAAAGGAGAGGCTTAGATTTCCCACCCCCAGGAAGGAGCAGATTCCTTTCTATTTTGAAGTACAGAAGAAGACATAAAACAGGATGTTAAAATCAGGGTTTCCAAATCCAACAGTAAAAACTTTGTTAATATAATCTACTCTTTAGACAAAATAAAATGTGGCATAAAATAGTCACATCTTCAGGGGACTTATTATTTACAAGAAGTACAGGTGCTACTTATCAAGGTAAATCTGACCTCTCCTTCCTCCAAGGGTGAGAAATAGTGGCTTAGTAGTGTTATAGCAATTACCAAATTTTTATGTTAAAAAATATAGCAAGCTGGAATAAGTGAGATCAGACTTACTTTCTCATCTGAAACTAGCAAAAAAAGAAAAGAAAAAAAGGTCAAAATAT